ACGGGCAGGCTCCCCAGTACGAACGGGTCAGAGGCAGCAATACGGTCCCCGACAGACAGGGACCAGCCTGGGTCTGGTCTGGGTACACAGGGGTTTTGTACCTACCCCGGTGCCGGTCCCAGGAGGAATATCGGCGATGCACCAGAGCACTGGAAAAGGGAAGGGGGTAAGGACCGGAGAGGACCTACCATCCTTTATCTTCTCGTCCTGAGGGAAAGGCCCGTCGGGAGGCACGTCGGCAGCGATGAGCACAGCCCGGGAATCCTCCAGCACCTACCAGAGCCCTCGGTTACCATCCCATCCCGCCAGCCTTTCCCCGTGCCCCCGGGGCACCCCAGGGGTGCTGCCCCAGCCACCTCACTTGAAACCCCACAGCGTCCTCCCTTCAGGTCCTAAATCCTACCTGCCCACCCAGCTCTTCTCTTTGACCCCACGGAGGCCCCCTGGCCCTCCCCGCTTCTCCTGCCCATCCTCCCCGGCCCCAGGGCACACTGAGCCTGGAGGGCGGCCCGCGCTGTGGCTCACTTTGAAGAGTCCCTTGAGCATGATGTCGATGATTTTGTACTGCTGGTTGACGTCATTGAGCTCGATCAGGTTCTTCAGCGCGTTCATCTGGTCCTTGCGCTTCACCTCAAACAGCTTCTTATCTGCACCGCCGTCAAGGGCGCTGCCGGCACACTCCCACCGCGCTCCCGCTCTCCCCCTCCGCCGGGCACCCAGCACCATCCCAGCCCCCCAGGTCTCCATGGCATGCCCAAGGGCTGTGGGGCAGCGCCGGAGCCAGGATGAGACACGGGTTTCCAGCCAGCCCCTTTGCCCGGACACCCCAGTGGGGCGCTTAACAACGCTGGGCACTCGTGGGAAGCTTTCTACTTGCCAGCCCCTGCTCCAGCAAGGCTGGCAAGTAGAGGCTGCAGAGAAGGATACAGATTTCCAAGCCAGAGTCCACCCTCTGCTTTTCCAGGTCAGCGAAGCTGCCCCGGGACAGCAGCAGCACCAGCAGAAAGGGGCAGATCAAGAGAAAACCCATGTCGGCTGCCACAGCCTGGAACAAAACAGACCAACAATAACCAGCGAGAAGACTTACTGAGCAGAGGCCTCTCGCAGAGCAGCTGCTCAGGACCAAGGGCACATCGCCCTCGACCCCGGGGTCCTTGCCCGCCTCTCCCTTGTCCCCACGAGGGGTTTGAGGGAGACGGCAGCCAGAGCAGGGCCACGGGACGATGCTGCAGCCGGCCCGCTCTCCCCTGCGAGGGAAGCCCCAGTCTACCCCTCCTCTCTACCTGCCTCCGCTGCTGGCTGGGCACCCAGGGATCTGACTGAGCACTAATCCAGCAGAAAAATTAAGTCCTATCCCTTCTCCCAAAAATAACAGCTAGCTTTTTGCTGGGTGTGCGAGTTAGAGCAGCCCAGCAACCAAAGCAGCAGGGAGGAGAAGGATCGCCGAGGGGCTGAAGCCCACCTCGTGAAGAGCACCAGGCACGGCCGGCTCAGCCATCTCACTTCACCTCTTGGGGTGCTGGTACCTGGGCCCTTCCCCTTGCTACAAGCCAGGCGCCAGCTGCGGCCCCACGCCGAAAAGCAGCAGTTGGGTGACCTGGTGGTAGCTCCCCCCGTGCCCCAAGCGCGTCCCTCCCCAGGCAGCGCCTGAGGTTCTGCAGGGACGCGTTTGGGCAGAGCTGCTCCTGGCCACGAGGGTCCCTCAGACAGAGGCAACGTGCAGAAGAGAGGCTGGAGGAGAAGGTCAAGAGTGAGCTCCCTGGGACAGCCTAGACCTCGAAAAGGAGAGCAGTACCTCGGCCTCCAGGCAGTGGGACTCGAGGTGGCCTGTCCGCAGGGATAAGGTTTCCGCGGAGCCAAGCAGCGGCCACCAGCAATTACGGAAGCAGCAGCTCCTTCAGAGGCATCCCCCAAGCCGCCTCCTGCTCCCGAGGGAAAGGCAGACACTAAGGCCACCAAAGCTGCCCTCACCCTGCCGCCACGCTCCCCTCCCAAGCTTGCCCACCCAGCCAAGCCTCTCTCTCCAATACCCTAACACTGGAACAGAAACAAATCCCTTCTTCACACCAAATCTGGGGGTTTTTTTCTTCTTGTTTTTCTTTTTTAAGCAAATAAAATTTTTCAACCCCAGGCCCATGAGGGTGGGCAGCACCGGCAGCTCTCCCAGCCCTGCAAGGAGCAGCAGCTCCCGCTCCCACCGTGCACCTCCTTGCCAAGGCTGAGCCAAGAGCCCTCGCACCCCCGGCTTGGGCAGGGAAATGGCATCAGGCAAACACGAGAAACCCTCTGCATTTCTTTTTGCTGTTGTGCTTTGCAAAAGGCAGCACCCCTGGAAGGGAACGGAACAGAGTAACTACAATCAGCGTTACAGGGGAAGACAGGGCTGCCCCTGGAGCGGGCTCAGCATCACAACCCGTGTTTCAGACGCGATGCAGAGCCGGGATGGCAGCACAAGCCTCTCACGCTGGGGGCCAGGGTCTGTCCCCTTTGGCTGCTGTGGCACAAGCCTTAAGGTGTACTCCAGCCACCCTGAAGGCCGCAAAGCACGCCAACAGGCTGAGGCTGTAAGGAGAAATTCTCCAGCCCGGGCAAGCAGATGCTCTGCTAGACCCACCAGCCTGGTCGGCTTCCAAGAGACTGCTTCACCCTGCCTAAAACTACGACTCAAGGGCCCAAGACTTGGCTTAGCGAGGGGGTGCGGGTCCCCCCTCTGCAGAGCCTCCCATAGCTGCTCGCTCCTTCCCAGGGTCTCGGGGAGGAGGAAGAGCAGCAACTCAAAAGCGCAAACTGCGACTGCCCTGGGACCTGAGCTCCTGTTTGCCCCTCGGATCAGACGCACGTCCATAAGGACCAGGCTGGCTATTTGCTGTGCTTGTGGAGAACTGGAGAAAGACCCTGGAGGCAGCCGATGGCCTCCAGACCAGGCTGAAAGGCAAAGAGCAGAAATGCTGCCCGTGACAGCTCTGCCACGCTGCCCGCAGCAGTCCCAGCACGGCTGGTCAGGGCAGGGGCTCCTGTCCCCGCTTCCAACATGGGAGCCAGGTGGCTGGAGAATGTCCCGCGGCCACTCTGAGGAGGAAGATGTTGAGCTGCAAAAAAAAAACGGCTCAGGCAACAACAGAGCAAAGCATGGCTCTCAGCCGAAGCGGTTGCTGGCCAGCTGGTTGCTCCAGCAGAAAGCCCACCAGCCTGCCCCTGAGTCTCAGAACGGAGATGGGCTTTTCCAGAGACACGACAACAAACGCTGCATTATAGATGGTTGATGTTTTCAATGAAAATGTTTTTAATGACTTTACAAATCCTCCTGCAGCAGCCCTACAGATTGTGCCATGGGACGAGGTCAGAAGAAGAGGGCTAGAGAACCACGCCATACCAGAAGCCCATCACCTTTTCGTCTGACCCCTTCCCTGCTGATGCTCATTCTCACATCAAAGCTACTGACCGCCGTCGCCCATCAGGGCTGAAACACCACAGTGAAAATGAAGCAGGAGCCAGTTGTTGCCCTCATCCATAGGGAAAGTGAGGTTGCTGGTGCCGCGTGGGACCAGCTTGAGCTTATTTCCCTTCGCTGCCCTGCCCATTTCACACCGTTTTAATAGCAGAGGACATTCCCTCCTCTCCAGGCCAGACTGCATAAGCGCAAGGATGCCGAAGCTTCTTGCAGATGTTCCTCCATGCTTTCCCCGTGAACCCTCCCTTGCATCTTCACACCCGCTGAGGGACGAGATGAGACAGAAGCACGGCAGAGCTGCTCCTCTCTTCCCTCCCTGCTCCTCCTTGAACTGATCCCTGCCAAAGCTGGCTCTGCCCAGCACTCCCAGAGCAGTCCAGGGAGCCAGGGCCTGGCCTGATGCTACAGATGGGAAGGAGTTTCCACCAATATTCCCTCGCAGCCCCAGCCAGCTGGTTGCTTCAGCAGAAAGCCCACCAGTCTGTCTCGCTGTCTCCCATCCTCTTAATTTAGACGTGTTTTTCCAAAGACACGACAACAGATGCTGTGTTATAGATGGTTAGTGCTTCCCATTAAAACATTTTTAATGACTTTATAAATTCTCCTGCAGGAGCTCCATCTGAACCGAGCATCCCCGGGATTTATTCGCTTAATGAGCTCGCAAGGCAGAGCCATGCTGCCACGCTTTGGTTCCCAGGAGGGACTTTCACAGGACCCCCCCGCCCCGCCTCCCCTCCGCAGGGCACTGAAACAAGGGGGGGAAAAGCATCATCAGCCAGCTTGCCCCAGGAGCACACTGTGGCAAAACAAGAAATGACCAAAACCCACCCCGGAGCCACTCCTCCGCCAACGAGATGAGGATTAATCTCTTGTTGCAGCTGAGCCAAGAGCTTCAGAAGTGAAACACAGGCGGCCCGGACTTCTTCTGCTAGTGCATTTCTATACAGGGCTTACAGGATCAGGTGCTTCAGTGAAACAACAACGGCCGTTTACATCTGCTTACCTCAAAAGTCCCTTAACCACCAAAACCAGATCTCATGTACCGTAGGGACGGCT